CACTGCACTCCAGTCTGGGCAACAGAGTGAGACTCCAACTCAAAAAAAAAAAAAAAAAAATAGCATTCCTACCACAAGCCCCCTCCCTCAGGTCCCTACTCAATCCCCCTTACCTTTCTCTACCTTTGTTCCCTCTTAAGGTACTGTTGCCTACTAGGATATCCTGTAATTGACTGTTTTACTGAACTATTCTGTCTCTCCTTTCTAGAATGCAAGCTCTTTGAAAGTATGCTAAAGTTATAATTTCGTTCACTAAAGTATCCCAACTGCCTAGAAAAGTATCTGACACATCATAGGATTCAGAGACTATCTGTTGAATAGATGAATTAATGATAATGAATTAATGGGTTACTAGGCCAAAAATAACGAAGTCCAAACTCCTATTCTCATCTACCTATTGCCTGCAGCCCACAGCTGCTGTCACACAGGACAACAGTTTGATGAACATACATCCCCTCATCTTCCTACCTCCCAACTCTCTTGACCCGCAAAGACTATCAGTTCTTACCTCCCACCCCCACCTTCATTTTCTCCTGCTTAGACTCTGTCCTATTCAAAGGTGACATCTCCACTGAGTCCTTCCCATAGGCACCATTTCTTTGTTCCCTCTGAACTCTCAGCAGCCTCTGAACCGCTGCAACACTTGGCACTACCTCTTTGGGCTATAACTCTGCATGAGGTTGTCTGCCCCCCACTAAATTAGCTTTCCAGATAAGCAGCCACATGACTCATTACTCATCTTTGCATTCCCCTGAGGGCCATGCTCAAAGGGGAACCACCGATAAAGGGAAATTTCTACCTAAAAATCCCTGTTGTAGAGCCAGTGTTCTGTTCTGTCCATCCCTGGTCACCATCTGTAGCCTGAGTTAGATTACCCAAGTGGACCATCAGACCATTCCATGAAAAAAACAACTGAGCCAGAGCACATGGGGAAACGCAGCTTTAAAACTGAAGTTGAAAGGGGTCCCTAAAATTCCATTAAAAAGGCACCATAGCCCCTCATGAGGCGTTAAGTCATCCTAATTCGTACAGTCTATTGAGGAAACACTTTGTAAAGGCGGTAATTATCCTAATTTGTCATGGCTCTCCTCCAATTAAATAACTGTCTAGTATTGTTACTCGTTTTATTCCTTAAGGCTTACTCCTGCAGGGCAGAAGCATACAATAATAAGTAAAAAATAAAATAAGCCGGCCTCGGTGGTTCAGCCTGTAATCCCGCACTCTAGAAGGCTGAGGTGAGTGGATTGCCTGAGCCTGCAGGTTCGAGACCCGCCTGGGCAACTTGGGGAGACCTCATCTCTACAATAAGTCAAAAAATTAGCTGGGTGTGGTAGCGTGCGCCTGTAGTTCCAGCTACTTGGAAGGCTGAGGCGGAAGGATCGCCGGAGCCCAACAGGTCAAGGCTGCGGTGGCCGGGAGCGGCCACTGCACTCCAGTCTGGGTGACTGAGTGAGACTCCAACTCAAAAAAATAAATAAATAATAAATAAATAAATAAATAATAAAATAAAATACCCCCCCATAAAACAATATGTATTGTGTGCTTAATTTACTGTAAATTGCCTTCAAAGGGCATTACTAGTTGGTATTTTTGTTTGGATTGATCTTGATTGTCTCACACGCCTAGCAATTACATCTGTCATTTTCCCTTAATTCTAAAGAGAGTGTGGATTCAGAGATCCAGATACCATCTAGAGCTTATATCTTTATCCATATACTTTATGTAAATCAGTCTCATATTAAGGTGAGGGTTGGACTTGAGGGGATGTGCACGATGAATACTTTTGTTTACGCAGAAAAAGACATGAAAAGCTCGATCAAGTCAGCCCAGGTTTTGTTTTGTTTCTGCCTCCTTGCCTAAGAAAGCCCATCTCCAGCTTCTTCCTAGACCTACTCCGACCAGGCTTTTTCCGCCCCTCACGGTCTCTCTAAGGGCCCTGGGTCAGAAGCTGGAGCTCTTCACTCTCCCAATTTTTCATCCTGTCACCCCACCCGCTCCATCCCTAATAGTCAAGAGTTCAAAGAACTGGTGTGGCACCCCGGACTCTCAACACTGACTATTCCCAACACACCCAACCGTAATTCCTCTCACAAGATCGCACCGCTCTGGTTCCCTCTGCCCCACACTACAACCTCCTCGTTGGCAATTCTGCTCCCCCCCACCCCCCAGCCCCCTGGCTCTAGACACCTTGGAATTTCGCTTAGCTCCGAGGGATAGAGTGATCGAGCGGGAATCGCTAGGTGGAAAACAATGACTGCTCCAATCACGCCCCGGGAAATGGGATGGGTGGTTGGGATGCCCCAGGCGCTTAGGAACGCGCTGCTCACCTGGAGCGCGGCCGTCGGAGGCCTCGGGGCCATTCCTGCCTCGCCAGGGCCGGGTCCAGGGGCTAGAAAGAGAGGACAAGGCCAGCTAACCCGGCTGCAACCACAGACCCCACCCCGCCTCCTCCCCTCAGCCCCTTCTCCAGCGGAGACCGGTGGGGAGAACCGCGGACCCAGCCCGGGCCTGCCGCTCCCCCGCCCCGAAAGGAAAGGCTCCGCCGCCTCCCGGTCACCGCCCTCCGGCCACGCCCAGCCCCACCCGCAGGATGGTGGGCGAGGCCCAGCTGACACCCGCCAAACCCGTGAGAGGTGCCGCCCCGACCCGCGCCTTC